AGAGCCCCCAGAGCCCGCAGAGCCCCCAGAGCCCCCAGGGCCCCCAGAGCCCCCAGAGCCCGCAGAGCCGCCAGAGCCGGCAGAGTCTCCAGAGCCCCCAGAACCTGCAGAGCCCCTAGAGCCCCCAGAACCCCCAGAGCCGGCAGAGCCCCGCAGTCTGGCCACGCCTCCCCCAACTGGACAGGGGGGCTGGATGGATGGAGGGAGTGACCAGCCCCAATGGAGCTTAGGGAAGGAGTTGAGAGTGGACCCGACAGATGAGGCCCCTGCCCTGGGGACCAGCCTGAGTCCCGGACCGGGGAACTGCTGCCTGGCGGCTCGGTGCCCGCCGGGGCTCTCACCCGAGCCGCAGCAGGTGGGCCTCTGCCGTGCTGGGAACTGGGCTAGAAGGCTTTGCTGAGGGATTAGCGCTCCAGCCATCTGTGCCCAGCCCTGCAGCCAGGTAAGGTGTAGACACTCCTCCGGGAGGAGCCAGGGAGGGCAGGACCTCCCTGAACCACGCCTGGGTGCCAGGCCCCTGTGGGCACTTGACACGTGTCCCCTTACCCTCGAGCAGGTCCTCTTGTCCCCATGGTACAGAGTGGAAACGGCTGGCCCAGGGCATGCGAGACTCCCAGGTGGATGGACTTAGGATCCCGCAGCTGGGACAGGCATTGTGCTTCCGCCCCGGGCCCCGCTTGGCCGGACTGCCTGTGGGGAAGGGGTGGCCCGCAAGATTTGGGGGTGGCTCAGGCCCTGCCACAGACTCAAACAGCAACGCTCCCCGCAACCCGTTTGCTTGTTTATTCACTGCCGACATGCCCTTCCCCGCAGGCTCCTGTCAGGAGGCCGGGACACTGGGTGGGTGGACGCCGGGGGGCCGAGCGTGTCTGAGGAAGGCTGAGCCACCAGTGCGGCACTGGCTGGCACCTCTGGGGGCTCGCCCTGCGCTCCTGCAGGCTGCGCCGTGGATCTGGAGCTGCCGTGGGTCGTGGTGGGTCTGGACTGTGGCGCTGAAGTCATCACGTGGGGACTGAGGTGTGTTGGCTGAGCCCGGCTCACGATGACTCCGAAGGGTGGCGGCATGATGGGGACTGGGACCGGAGCCCAGGACTGCTGCAGGGCCCTCGACCCCGAGCCGAGGGGCTCCAGCACCGCAGGTCTCAGCTGGCCTCAGGTGTGGGCCATGAGGCGTCAGCCCTGGGGCCTCGCTCGCAGGGCAGCGCTACACCTGCGGGAGGGCTCCTGGCACCACCCAGGAGTGGGGCTTGCAAGGTCTGCAGAGCCTGGCACGGAGTCCTGGGGAAAGGCAGAGAGGGACGGGGACGGGAGGCAGAGATGGGGTGGAGAGAGGGGGACACGAGAGTCATTTCCAAGCACAAAGATTTAAAAATCGAAGCAAGAATCAGATCTCACCCTCTTTCCTGAGGCCCACAAGGGGCCCTTTGTGGCAAACACCACAGGCCCGGGCTATGCCAGTGCCATCGGGGTATCTGACTGACGGGCGGAGGATGCAGGGCCGGCGGCTGAACCTCAGCGGAGCCTCTTAGAGACGCTGGAGCTGACACAGGTCTGGAGGCCTGTCCTGAGGACCAGAGGGGTCTGCCCCATGGACACCCACGCCCTTGGGCCCCTAGGCTGTCTCTTCCCAGATGGCGGGTGCCAGGCAATGCGTGCCTCAAGGCTCCATCTGCATCTTTGACAAACCAGCCCCGTTTATGGGAAGAAGATTCCACAAGAAGGGAAGAGCTGCATGCAGCAAGCTATTCTCTGTAGTTTTTTTTTTTATTAATTTAATTTTTTATTTATTCATTCATTTATTTTAATTTTACCAGAGAGAGAAATACATAGAGAGAGGGAAAGTGAGAAAGCAAGTTGCCAGGCCCGCGACTTGAACCATGGTCAGCCATGTGGGAGTGTCCAGTGCCTTAACCACTATACTAGCTGCTGGTCCCCATTTATTTTGTTTTTAATTTGCTAGAGAGAACACACACTTGCCAGAGAGAGAGAGGAGTGGGCAGCCACCCCTCGGGGATGGCCATGCTGCCGCCCTGCCCTCCGCCTCCTCTCTGGAGCTCGGGCACACACGTACCAGGTGCGATTTTCAGGCCGCCAGGTCTTGGACCTGGACCGTGCAGTTGGCCATGTGGGATCCTGTGCCACACCTCCATGCCACTAGCTGACCCCACCGTTTTATTTCTAAGAGCAGAAAAATGGATTCTGGAAATGGTTAGAGTCTCGTGATAGAGGAATGCCTGCCCTGATACCTCCCGAGGGCGGCCACGCTCCATGGTGACAGAAGCAGAGGCTAGGAAGACCAGGGAGCAGTTTCGGAAATGCTATGGTCTAGCCCTAATTTAAAACATCGAAAATGGGGCACGGGGCCAGCGGATGGCAGGCGATTAAGGGGCTGGGCTGCTACGTGGCCGGCCACTGTTCAAGTCCCAGACCTGGCAGCGTGAGAATAGCGCTGGCGTGTGCGCGTGTGCCCAGGATCCGGAGAGCGAGGAGAGTGAGGCGAGTGAGGCGGGCGAGAAGGGAGTGTGGGTAGCCCTCTGCCCCCACTTGGGGTGGTTTCTCTTCCCCTCACTAGTCTCTCTCTAGCCAGTGCATGTGCCCTATGGCAAAAATCAGAAAACAAAAGAGGCACAATAAAATGAAACTAGGCAAAGGCATGTCTGAAAGAAGCAAAAAGCAAAACGAAAGATACAAATGAATGAGAAAAGTTACTCAGCTAGGTAAGGAGGGGCTCTTTCCTCCCGTTTCCGGATCGCCGCCGTTCAGACCTGCCATGTGGGGGGGTGGAGAGCACAGGCTGGAGCCCACTGTGGATTCGAAGCCCAGCCCCACCTGCCCTGCCCGCCCTGTGGCCTTCGGCGAGCCCCGGACTGCTCTGTGCTGGCCCCTCACGGAGGTGGTTGAGCTCTCAGGACCGAGCTGGAGGCTCCGCGGGCCGAGTACAACAGCGCGGCAGCAGGAGCCCTGGGACCTGGCACTCGGCGTACCAAGGGGGCGCTGTACCGCCCCTGCCGTGGCGACATGGGGTGTCTGTGTGCACAACTGTGTGTAAGTGTGCTCATGGACATGTGCGTCTGTGTGTGTAACTGTGTGCATGTGGTTGTGCATATGTATTTAGGGACGTGTGCAGTGTGCGTGTCTGTGTGCGTAATTGTGTGTATGTGTGCTCACGGATGTGTGCGTAATTGTGTGTGTGTGTGTTCATGGATGTGTGTGTAATTGTGTGTGTGTGCTCGTGTGTGTGGATTTATGGATATGTGCAGTGTGAGTATACCTGTGGGGTGTGTGTGTGTGTGAGCAGCTGCAGGGCTGATGCAAACACCTACAACCTCTCCATCCCGTGTGAGTGGCCTGGCCTGTGCAGAGGGCTGGCGGAGAGGGCACTTACCGCAGGGAGGCCTCAGACCCTGGAAGGGCAGATCTCTCCCTGGGTCCCAGAAGCGCCCCCCCCTGCCCCTCCCCTGCTGGTGCAGAGCTGTTGGCAGCTGCTCCCCCCCATCGCCAGGCAGGCAGGAGCGGGCGCCCCATGGCCCTGAGAGAGGTGTGTGTGAGAACTGGCTATTTTTACCAGCCTTGGCCTGGTCCCAGCTGGATGATGCACTGTGGAGGGGGTGCTGCTAGCTCCTCTGGGAACGTGTCAGGAGCCTGGAGCCAGCCTGACCTCACCCCTCACTGACACTGAGCTAGAGCTCCCTGGGTGGGCAGGATGGTCGCTGGGCAGGCGTGGCGCTCAGGCAATGGCTGTGCTCTTGGGTGTGCCCCAGAGAAACCACAGGGCTGGGACCAAGGACCCCTGAGGCCCTGACACTGCAGACTGGCGGGTCCCAGGCCCCTCCTGTCAAAGGCAGCAGGGTTCCAGCAGGCCTAACCAGGCCACCCCGGAGTGCCTGTCTGCCTGCTTGGAGTCCCGGCCTGGAGCTGGGTGTGGGCGTCTTCCCGGGCCCTGGCTGGTCCCAGGGGGCCCTGGGACAGGCTAGGCTGCTTCTCAGGGCCCACCTAAGCATGGGGCCTGGCTCTGAGCCTCCAGCCTGGTAACCAGAACTGCCTTCCTGCACCAACCACGCTGGGGCTCTCAGGAGCTGCGTGCCCCCTTGCACCTGCTGGTGACCCATGCGGCTGGTCCGCTCTCCATGCCATCACGGCCCCTAGGCAGCTTGGGGCTGTGGCTGTGCACTGTCCTCGGTGCCTGTCTCTGGCCCCCCCTGCGCCCCCCCCCGCCCCCTCCTTCGTGGGTGGGCTCCA